AAGACACGATTTTTAATAGTTTCAAATAGTTTTTACTATAGTTTTTATTAGTTTTAATTTTAAAGTCATAGTTAAATAAAAGTACTTTTTTAAAAAGTTCACGGGTTCACCGGCAGGGATTGTAGGTGGGGGGAGTGAATGTACAGTGCTCCCTTCCACCCTCAATACCACAACTGAGGTGAGACCCTTGAGCAAGGCACCTAACACCCAATTGCTCCCCACTGCTCTGGGTGTGTGTTCATGGTGTGTGTGTGTGTGTGTTTGTTCACTGTGTGTGTGCACTTGGATGGACTAAATGCAGAGCACAAATTCAGAGTATGGGACACCATACTTGGCCACACATCACTCACTCACTCACTCACTCACTCACTCACTCATTAAATGCACCTGATTCAGCTTATTTGAAAACTACATGGTATGTGTGTTGGAGCCGGGCTGGGGCCCTCCAGGAACTGAGTTTGACACCCCTGCTCTAAAATGTCTCCCCTTGTTCGAGCAGAGGATCCCTTCTTGTCACTCAACAGCAAAAGAGATGAAAGCAAATATGAATTGTTTATTGCTGTCCCACTGTGACCCTTGTCTAACATCGTAGGAGATTTATTGTCTCCAAACTCTTCCCCCAGACCTAATCTGTGCTCTCCAGCTTTGTAGACACAGAATGTGTCTTCCAAAAAAAAGGCACCAACATTTGCAGAATCCTCCATCATCACCCACACACTAACCACACTGGTAGGAGGCTCCAGTGCTACAATTCAGCTCTTAAAATCAGAAATCCACCAGGCCTCTGCTCCTTCCTGAAATCTGTTGCTATAGAATTTTTTTTTGTAAAGGTCATTAGCGACTGATACTGCGGTACCGTAGATATAGAGCACAGGGGACCAGCGGCAAAGCCACTCCCCGTGAAACCAGATGCTGAGGGGGCAGGGAGGGCAGGGCTCGGGAAGGGAGCGGCCAGATAAGGAGAGAAGCAGAAGAGAAGCAGGAGAGTAAACATTAGCACGACTGATGAGACAACACAGCGGCTGCTTTCTGCTACTATTTCATTGTGCTTTAACATGCAATCCTTTTGTCATGGGGAAATGCATAGAATCAGGGGCCTAAAACAGAAATGGGTAAAATGTTGAATCAATAAGCAATTGTCAGTAAGCTAAAAGCATCGGACATTTGACCTTTGCTTGTTGGGGGAAGGGACTTTATTGCCATTATCTGATGATGGGAGAGTGAAAATAGCCTCTGCATGAATTAAATTACGTTAGTTGCAGATAGGCAGGCTGAAGCACCCATCACTCGACTGGCAGACAGTTATGTATAGCATAGCACTGGTGTAGAAATATTTAAGATTAAAAACATTCAGCTCAAGAAATAACCAGTAATCAATCTCGTACATATATATTCTGGTGAATTTTTGTCAACCAAATCAATGGCAGAGTATGAAATAAACCTTTTTGCCCACCCACCCCATTTTATTTTATTGTATATTTTACAGTTCATATAAAACTAAGCCAGTTTGTTGACCCTATAGCAGTAATATTTTAGTATTTTACTTTTGTTTTTTTGTTTGCTATTTTTAGTACTTTAACTTAAACTAAATGAAAATGTTGCCTTGTCAAAAAAGTTTATTTTTTTAAATATTTTATTTCACTTAATGTTTATTTCAAACAATGAAATTTTATGTGCAGTTTTAGTTAACAATAATAACCCTGCCCTAGAGTTAATAACAAATATTAGCCACAGTATTTGTCACTAAAGTAAAAAATAAAGTAACCCTGAAGAGCTTTGCGTTCGCAACCACACTACATATTTAAAGTTATCTAAATGTAAGCCACCTTTAAAGGGGTGGTTGATTGTTAGACTGCACCCCATAAACACAATCAACCCTAGAAAAAACCCAGTCAACCACCCCTTTAAGACGTCTCCTTAATATGTAACTGTCACTATATACCCCCTAGTGGCAGTCAGAAGGAACTTGAATTTGTTTGGAATTTGTTTCTCAGCACAAGCATTTACCCACTATTGAACATAGTCGCTGTGTCCGAAATCAAATACTCCCCTACTATATAGTATGCAAAAAAACAGTACGCCACAAGAATAGTATCTCCAAATTCATAGTATTTAAAAAAGTATCCGGATGACCTACTACTGCTGCTGCGATTCTGAAGTGTGGATTCAATGGACACTTTACTATCCCATGAACGGCAGTGAAGCGACACAACTGACACTGGTACATGTTAACAGAATAACATGGCAGATGTAGTACAGCTGAATTTCGTGCATACTTCCCATATGCATACTATATAAACCATACTCTTAACGGTTGTGAAGTAAGTTCAAATTCAAATGTAATACCTACTCAGACAGTACACGATTTTGGATGCACCAAGTGTGATGGATTAATGATGAACACACTGCTACCTGAATAGGATAATTGACTGCCATTACTTTTGGAAGGAACATATTGGGCACTATTTTAACGATCTAATCGCAGGGTCCAAAGCGCATGGCGCAATTGCGCTTAGGGCGTGTCCGAATCCACTTTTGCTAGTTTAACGACGGGAAAAACGGTCGGCGCACCCGGCGCATGGTCTAAAAGGGTTGTCCCTATTCTCTTAATGAGTAATGGGTGTGTTTTGGGCGTAACGTGCCATAAACCAATCAGAGTCTCATCTCCCATCCCCTTTAAAAGCCAGTTGCGCTCGCGCCATGGCGGGTTTGCTATTTACATGGCGGAATTAAATTTTTCCATTTTTAAAAATGTTTGTGTGCTACTGCGTGTCCCTGTGTGTGTAATAAGCAAAGTGTACGCGCGTTGTGCACCCGTCTATAGGTGCATATTACTAACGCGCTTTTTAAATAACAAAGAAAAAATACTGCGCCAGACTTTAGACCAGGTTTTTGTTGGTCAATGGCGCAGTCTATTTCAGTTGCCTCAAAATAGCAACGTGCCAGCAATGCACCTGATCACACCTCGTTTTCAGACCAGCACGCCCATGGGCGCACAAATGGGCGCAAATGCATTAGCTATTTAAACAACGTGGCGCAGGACGTGAAAATGACAACTGCATCGGGCTGAAACTAGCAAAAAACACTTGCATTGCGCCAGGTGTATGATAGGGCCCATTACGTCTAAGACTACTGTGTTAAACAGAATAAATAATTATAATTTTCCGCTTCACAGACATAACAGGTGATTGAGATGATGTTAGACAAATATCACTGCCATTTTTACTTTGCACTTAGTTTTTATCGGAATGCATGACATCCACATCTGTCGCATATCTTTACTGTGCAAGTTGAGTGAACCAGAAACAAATGGGAACCCGAAAATTCGAAAATTGAAACAAAAACAAGCATTTGGGAAACCTGTTTCAAAACAGTCATTATTGATGTCTTTCAATAACTCCAATTACTTAATCAGACTCAACAGTAATCTTTTTTCATTTTTTAGATGCCCTGTCTTTTTCATTTGCTCTCTGGTTTATTCATAATTGCCATTTTACAGACATTGAAAGGATGTCATTAAATATCATTGCTGTTTTTACTTTGCGCTTAAAGTTTTGATTGGAATACATCACATCTGGTCGAACCATTGGCGAAATAGCAAAAACTTGTGTTTAAAATTGTGTCTAAAACATACTTCCCTTAATATTCACTTCTTGTTTAACATTTGTATAAAATCAACATCACATTTGCAATTGTGCTCATATTCATGAAAACAGCTCTCTTTTGCTCTTGTGATATCGCTTAATTATATTTTATAATATAAAAAAAATCTCATATAAATACTTTTTTGCAATCATACCTTACATTTTTTGAGCATTTTCATGAATTTTTTGACACAATTCCCCATTAATTTCTGACCCGGCACAACAAAATCAAAAGAAATCAAATTAGAAATAAGTTATTGATTGCATTTGAAGCAGGACGTTTTACATTCATTCAAATTGATAAATTAACTAATAAATCAGACAGTGCACTGCCAATTTATGACCTGCAGTTGTGGTCTTGACCAATAAAATCCTGAGTCCTCTTAGTCTGAGATTGAGACAAGACTGAGTACAAATGCAGTGGAGACCGAGACCAGACCAAGACCTTCAAACAATGGTCTCAAGAGTACTACAACATTACTGTTGAATATTAATCAGTGTTCCAGTAAACATGATTCCAGCTCAGTCTCCTAACTGTCACTATAATTTATGTTTTCTCTCTGGAAATAGCCTTTTCATTGGATGGGAAGCAGTTTGCTTGAAATGAAGAGCTATTAGTTCCCAGAAAGGGTGCAGAGGTTGGGAGGCAGGATGGTCTTTATGACTACACACACATAGGAGAACATCATATACTGCTCAGTGTGGATTGGCCATACAGCTAATCTGAGATGGCCCTCCAGCTATCCCCAATTCTCATACCAATATGTAAACACAATCAAACCATCTTTTAAATGTGACACGTGTGCTCATCTGAAAACATGTGATTTGTATTAGTTTATTAGCCTGCCCTACTTTATCCTATATGAGAAATGGAGAAGCAGTCTGGACGTTTTGAATACAGTTGCTCTTAGCCCAACCGCTGAGGAATTGCTGTTTTTGGGCCATTATCACAGTGTTCTTGGGTGAGACACTGAGTGATGCCACCAAAAACAGCAGCAAAGAATGACAATAATTTGGCACGGTTTAAGAAACAGCAGTTTTGTATGTTGCATATTATTGTCTCTTTAAGATGAATCACTTATGTTGTTGTATTCCTCATTTGTAAGTCGCTCAGGGATAAAGCATCAGCTAAACGAATCCATGTAAATGTAAATTATTTAATGATAATATATTCATACGCATAATATTTACATACCATTTACTCTATAGGTATGTTGTGCAACATTTGTGATTTTATTAGTTCTCTCTGTGCTCGTCCAACATTATAAAAATACATTTTCCATCTACTTGAAGGATTTTTTTTTTTTGCATTGAGATTATCAAGACATTTAAGTGGTGTGTTTGTTTTTGTCACAGGCTAAGGACAGTGATGATGATGAGGAAGTCGTTCATGTCGACCGAGACCACTTTATGGATGAATTTTTTGAACAGGTAAACTTTATCTTAAGGCAAATATCATATCCAGTTCCTATTTATGCCGATGTAGATGATTTGATTTGCTCAACAGAATTTGTTCATGTCAACTTGAGTGCTGCTGTCATTAAAGCAAGAGAGAGACATACCAATTAATAAAACATTCTAAAATTCATGTCTATTTTCCAATTCAACTTCAAAATTAAATGGAACACACTAAGTGACTTTTTAAATTTGAACAGATTTTAAAACACTAGCTAGACTTTCAAGTCGTTCCAAACACAACAAATTCAAACAGAAACATAAGCTTTGAAAAAATGTGTTCTCAAAATATTAAATGTTTGATATCCTCTGACTGGATGGACTCATAGTCTGAAGCTAAAAATCTAAGCCCATCAAACACGGTGCGATTTTCTGTGAAATCGGTCAACTCCGAATGCAGACTGGCTCTAAATTTTTACCAACTAGTGTTGACTTGTCTAGACTGCAAATTATGGCAAAAATCTGTACAAAATTTGTGTATTCCATCCTTTACATACTCAAACTGTAATGCTGATAATATAATTTGTAATGAAAACAGCTGAAGTAAATTCAAGTAGATTCAAAATATTTAAAGCTAAGAAATAAAACAAAAGAAAGCTCTTGTTAAAAATGAACAAGGCATGGTTTCCATACCAGCCTGATATTTAATAATTTTTATGCAGTTCATATTGTAATGCAGTTTAGTTTCTGCATGTTTACTTACTAAAATTGACATTGATATCAAATAGATTTCTACAGCTAACATTTCATGTGACAAGATATAATATGTATCTGTAAAATGTGACCCTGGATCACAAAACCAGTCATAAGGGTCAATTTTTTAAAATTGAGATTTATACAAAAATCTGGAATCTGAGGGTGCAAAAAAAATCTAAATACTGAGAAAATCGCCTTTAAAGTTGTCCAGATGAAATCCTTAGCAATGCATATTACTAATCAAAAATTAAGTTTTTATATATTTACAGTAGGAAATGTACAAAATATTTTCATGGAACATGATCTTTACTTAATATCCTAATGATTTTTGGCATAAAAGAAAAATCGACCCATACAATGTTTTTTTGGCTATTGCTAAAAATATACCCCAGCGACTTGAGACTGCTTTTGTGCTCCAGGGTCACATGTAGGATACAGAACTATTATTAAAATGTCAAAATATTTTATAGTTGATTTTAAAAAAGATGATTATAAGTATAAATTATTAATAATAATAAATAAATACAAATGTTAAATTGATCCACATTATTTAAGCTGATTAGTCAATTATTTTCACAGAGCATGACAATAGGCAAGTAGATAGTCATTTAGATTTGGTCCTATCATTTGCAAATGTCACTGTATTGACGCATTATTTAACGCATGTTCTCCTGACAGGTGGAGGAGATCCGTGGCTGTATTGAAAAGCTGTCAGAAGATGTAGAACAGGTCAAGAAGCAGCACAGTGCCATCCTAGCAGCACCCAACCCTGATGAAAGTGAGTTCAACCCATCAGCACACAGTCTCAGCGTATACATTGCATCTATGAAAAAGCATTTAGTGTGGTTTAAAAATGAACATTGTGCCTAGAAGGTAGTTCCTTTTAAGGACACTAAAGTACTGTGACACCTCATCAGTGAGACGGTCAGGTATGCAATAAAAAAAAAGCTAATTTGACGTTTTACGTCCCCCATTTCCATCCATTTGCACACACAAATACACCACATGGACACACGTTTTGAGAATGCATATATATATATATATATATATATATATCTCTCAGGGCAAGATGACACATTTTTACATTAGCAATCACCTCCACCCACATCTTCAACATTAACAGTAATGCACCGGTTATATTTGCCATGTCTACTATACTGCTCACCCTTACAGGAATAGTTCACTCAAAGATGAATAATTTACTCAACCTTCTTTACATAAAAGTAACATAAAAAATGACTTGTGTGCTATATTTAAAATCTTTGCATGAGGAACAGATGAAAGCCTAAGTTATGGATAAATTCAAAGTCACATAGACTATTTTTATGTGCAAAAGGTGAGTAAATGATGACAGAATTTTCATTTTTCAGTGAATTATGCTTTTAAAAGAATAGCTGACCCAAAAATGAACATATGCTGAAGATGTACTCACCCTCAGGCCATCCGAGATGTAGATGAGTTTGTTTCTTCATTAAAACAGATGTAGCATTCCATCACTTGCTCACCAATGGATCCTCTGCAGTGAATGGGTGCCGTCAGAATGAGAGTCCAAACAGCTGATTAAAACATCACAATAATCCACAAGTAATCCACAACACTCCAGTCCATCAGTTAACATCTTGTGAAGAGAAAAGCTGCGTGTTTGTAAGAAACAAATCCATTATTAAGGCATTTTAACTTTAAACCGTCGCTTCTGGCCAAAATATGAGCCCATAATCCATAAAAACACTTCCTCCAGTTAAAAAGTCCACACCCTGTTGTCTTCTCACAACAAAATCCACCAACATATTTGTTTAGAACAGTTTTAAATTGTAAATGGTGCTTGATCTTTGCATATTTCTCTCCTTGATTCAGACGAGATTACTTACTGGAGGAAGCGTTATTATGGAGAGAGGACTCGTACTTTAGCTGGAAGTGACAGTTTGAAGTTAAAACTCCTTAATGATGGATTTGTTTCTTACAAACTCGCTGCTTTTCACTTCATGAGACATTAATTGATGGTCGTGTGGATTATTTGTAGATTATTGTGATGTTTTTATCAGCTGTTTGGACTCTCATTCTGACGGCACCCATTCACTGCAGAGGATCCATTGGTGAGCAAGTGATGTAATGCTACCTTTTTCCATACCTGTTCTGATGAAGAAACAAACTCATCTAGGATGACCTGAGGTTGAGTACATTTTTCAGGAAATTTTCAGTTTTGGGTCAACTATTCCTTTAACACATTTAAAATCCCTAACAAATGAGCAAGTTATGCATGCATACTCTGTCACAATGCAGGAAAGTTGCAAGGATTGAAATATAAAGTATTTATCACTTTTTGGAAAGCACCAGCTCTATGACTTTACTGCAGCTGTGTGGCAAGATATATGAGCTCATTGGTGAGCCTATTCAAGACTTTCTCCAATACCTTGCATTTGCGCCACCCACTCTACAAAAGAGGCACTGCCACCACATCGCTCCAAGTGTTTGTTAGACCCAGCCCACACACCTCATAGTGCACCAGCCCACACTGCATCTATAGAGGCTGTTTCTTCAGCTCTGAGTCCTCAAATGTTGCTAAAAAATCCTGCTCACCTCATCTTTCCCCAGCAACAGTCTTCAGTTACGGCAAATGTCTGAGTGTCCGAGTCATTCCAGTATTGTCTGACTAATGTGTGAGGTCATTCTGACAGAGCAGCTCTTTAGTAAATGTGCACGTGCAGTAAGTCAACTGTCAAATCAGTGAAATTACAGTGGTATGTAATGAAGAAATGCTTTCGTCCAATCTTTTACTTGTATAGATGCTCAAATATTGCTTGTGAATTGATATTAAACAGCAAATAGATATGCGGTGTGTATTTTAGATGTTATAATACTTTTATCCCACTTAATTCATAGGCTGATTTAGCTGAAAAGCAACTGCGGTTAAAATCATTATTTATGCAATTCCTTTTTGTGTCGTAAATGATATTTTGCCACAAATGCCGTTAATACACCTTATTGAACCCAGTGTGCCTTTTGAGCTGCCTGCATGGCTAAGTTCAAGAAATCCACAGCCTACGAATGACTCAGCTGCTATAGATGAATCTTTAATAATAAATGACGTCTAGTTGTGTCCGACAGTTTTGGTTCGGTTTCATACATTTGACTGCATGTGATTCGCTTCGGTTTTAAATGCATGGTTTTTGTTTCTGTTGAGTTGTTGCATGCATGTACTGTATAAGAACATTATTTTCTGTTTTTTTTCCCCCCTCTTTTCTTTTGCTTTCCTCCCTGTCTGTTTTCACCATGCTGCATGAAGGATGAAGGGAACCTGTGGAAGTTGAGTGTCTGTCTCGATATCTGTGTCGGTGTGAACCAGAAACCCGAGGAGAAATGGAGAACATATTAAATAAAGTAATTCTTAAAGGAATAGCCCAAGCAAAATGAAAATGTCATCATTATTTACTCACCCTCATGTCGCCCAAGACACACTTTTTCATATACTGAAAAAAATAATAATAATTGCTGTGAATAGTTATCAAATCTTACAATTATTAGAGTAAGTAATAATGTGTTTTTTCCAATTAAAGTGTTCGTGCTTAACGTAAAATGATTAGTTAACTTTAGTTTAAGTTAGATATTTAAGTTGTCTAATTGCAGCAGCCTTTTTTACAGTGACAACAAAAGTGGATGCTGATTTATTCTCTCATGCTTCAAAAATTATAAAATTAATCATTTTAGTAGTCATATGGAGTACTTTTATGGTATTTTTCATGGAAAATGCTGGCCCAGACATTCTGCTTAAGACCTACTTTTGAGTTTCACGAGATTATACATGTCTAAACAACATGGGAGTAAATATATAATATGAAATTGTCATTTATGGCTTTAAATATCTAACAGTAGTTGTTCTCCTTGTATTATTCTCCTTCAGCTCCAGTCTGTGTTGTGTGTGTTTTTGTTATTTATTGAGCTTGTGATGTTATACATACATATTGCATAAAATGTACATTCAAGCATTCAAGGTTTATTGCCAAGGCCAATTTCTCTTTTTTACTGCAGAAGGCTTTTAATTCAGTCACAAGAACACATACAAAAAGGGAAAGACAGACACTGCACTGTCATTTTTCGTTTAGCTGATGCCTTTTATCCGAAATATCTTACTCTGAATACAATGACAGCAATATAATCTCAGTTGCTGGAAAGTTCATGGGTCACCCCTACTTGGGATCAAGCTAACTTTTGTGTTTGCTGCTTAGATCCTTAACCAAGACTGCAATACCATCCCCCTCACCCTCAAGTGATCCAGTGTTATTGTGATCTCAGTAACATTTCTGGGTCATCGCTTCTCGACGCTAATCCACAGCATCTATGTTAGCAGCCCAAGTTCTCCATTAAAATACCACCGCTGCACAACCAAAGCATTTTATATTATCCTTTTACTGAGGTCAGCCTAGTTTTCAGCTGTGACCTTGAGCAGAAATGTAACCTCTGTTGGCCCTACGGGTGACTAATGGCTACGTCTTTGTCCTAGTTCATTAACGCATTTCACCCAATCAGCTTAAATGACTAAATTAGCCATCAGAATTATAGTGCAGTGCCCTTAATGGTTCTCCATGTTGCCCTGCAGGTGAGAGACGTTAGCAAGTAAAAACGAGCTGTGCGTAGTGCCCCGATTTGTGTGCGAGCAGATCGGGAGGTGCAAGATTCGATCGGTGAATGCCTCACATTACCAGATAATCGGCGCCGAACATCGGGACTGATCGAGGGGCTCGACAAGATTTTTGCTCCGATTCTCGGGAGGAGGAAATCGGTGCTAAATCGGGCTAAAAATCCTATAGTGTGAGCCAGGCTTTAGCTGAGGGGTAATAAATTTGACACTTAGCATTTCTATAGGGTTTGAGAACTTTTTGCGGTCTGGATGGTTTGTGCTGTATGTTCGGTTTTCTGGAGCAAACATAAAAGTATCGCTATGAGTGCTTATTTATTTGTTAGAATGTTTTGCTATGTATTTTGCAGTAGGCGGTGGCCAAAAATAACAAATAATCCTGCAGAAATTACATAATCTTTAGTAGACATCAACAAACACCATATGCTACACAGAATTTCAGGTTCATGCAGTTCATTTATCTATAAGAAATCTCTAGTAAATTCACATTAAATAAACATTATAACATATTCTAGTCCTTAGTAGGTCGAGACAGAATCTGTAGAGCTTTTCTGAGGTGACTTTGAGAAATACAATTTCAGAATTCTTTGAATTTGTGAAAAGTATTTAATAAGCAGACGTGCAGAGGTAGGTTTTGTAGATTTTTTTTTCTGCAATTTTGCAGATATACTAAACCTCATATGCTTCTGCAACAGGTCTGCTTCGCTTCAGCAAATGTGTGGCAACTGCAAAACCGACAGAAATAAAATCGTATTCAAGAGCAATTAAAGTGCTGGTTAGATGTCATGTTAAACAGTGGGTGTGACAAGAAACATCCTCGTCAGTCAAATCGATCTCTAAAAAAAAAAAAAAAAAAAAAAAAAAAGCTGACATGAGATGATGGCTTGTTTTCATAGAGCAGGAAAGAGCAGGACTGCATTTAGCTGTCTGTAAGCACAACAATAGTGTGGCAGTGTGCAAATATTGTGATGCAAACTCAGTGACAGGAGATACATTACACTTTTGTTGAATCGATGGACAGGGAACAGGCCACACCCTGACTATAGCACATTAACAGACACCAGTGACTAAACAGATCATGTGTTTTACACGACAGCATTGCCGTTTAAGCACTTTTCAACACCATTTTGTTAGTCAAAATGAAAAAAGGGGTGGGGGGAAACATTTCAAACAACATTTAGCAATCATTTTTAAGTACTTAATTTATTTTTACATTAATTTTGCAAGTTTGTAATTCTCTAAAAAAGGAAATATGGTTTCCATGCAAGTTTTCAGATTTCTATAAAAGCTCAAAAAGGCCTTTTTCATACACAAATATATACATTTACCAACATTTATCAATCACTTTTAAATAATTATATATATATATATATATATATATATATATACACACACACAAAATATATATATATACACATTCCTATACAAATATAAACATTTACCAACATTTATCAATCACTATTAAATTATTTTTAATTGATTTTATTTGTAATTAATTTTATGAATTTCTTTACTTTGAAAGTTTATAATTCTCTGAAATAAGAAATATTGTTTCCAAGCAGATTTTCAGATTTTTCTAAAAGCTTTAAAAATCCTTATTATATTATTATATATATTGCCTCAACCTGACTATAGCACATTAACAGACACCAGTGACTAAACAGATCATGTGTTTTACACGACAGCATTGCCGTTTAAGCACTTTTCAACACCATTTTGTTAGTCAAAATGAAAAAAGGGGTGGGGGGAAACATTTCAAACAACATTTAGCAATCATTTTTAAGTACTTAATTTATTTTTACATTAATTTTGCAAGTTTGTAATTCTCTAAAAAAGGAAATATGGTTTCCATGCAAGTTTTCAGATTTCTATAAAAGCTCAAAAAGGCCTTTTTCATACTGGTAAATGTATATATTTGTATATCTGTATGTGTGTATGTGTATATATATATATATATATATATATATATATACACATACACACATACAGTTATACAAATATATACATTTACCAATATGGTCAATTCAACATTTTCCTTTGGTTCAAAATAAATCCTAGTAGCCAAAAGATAACAATCAGATAACTTAACTAAAGAAATAATATATTTAGGAAAATACAGAAATTCTGGCAATTTTAACCTTTTGGGACTCCTTAAAAATGGTAAGTAAACTCATAAAAAAAAAGTAATTAAGGACACTCGATTAAAAAGTTCAAAGCTATTATTATCTATCTTTTAAAAGCTAAAAATCAATCATCCTTGGTGACAGAAAAGTTCCCCTAATTGAGGATTCGCCCGTATATACTATGAAATGACAATCAAAGTGATTAATTACTGTGCACAATGTATAGACATATATCACTCTTCTCCCACCCGCCGCACACATCCATCCCTCTGAGAGTGATCAGCAGGAGTCACAATATTGATAGCCAGAAAGAGGCGCCAAGCGATTTGAAGTGTGGGGCTTGTATAAATCCCTCAACCTGGCTTATTAAAGCCAATTTTGTGATAATATGTTGCGCATATGTATATAATGCATAACACATAGTTCAATTAATAAAATGCAGTACATATTCAAAAACACTAAATTTGAGACTAAAATCTCTCATTGTGTATATATATTACAGCAAATATTTCAGTATGAATTTGTAAGTGCATTATTCCTCTTAATAAACACACAAATACTCCCTAGTGATGAAGTGTTACTGGCATTAACACTCGTAGTGGAAGAAATGTCATGGTCATCAGACTGTCATGGCTGGAGAAATGAGAGAAAGTAGCGAGGGATTGGATTAGTCAGAGGAGAGAAGAGTGTGTAGGTGGGAGTTGAAAAGGCTGAGGTGGTGTCCAGGGAGTGAATGGCACTGCAGTAACTATCAATCAACATATGACTGCAGCCTGCGGTCTGTACACACCAGTTCGTTACTGTACTTAAGTAAATTTTTCAAGTATCTGTACTTTACTAGAGTAGTTTTATTTTGAGTAACTTTTACTTTTACTTCACTACAAAAATAAGTCAATGTTAGCTGATGCTAACTGTCTAGCTAACGAGCTTGCTGGTGCTAAATTGAGGTAATTAAAAAAATATATAAAGTCCAAATATTTTTATTCAACCACCTTGATAGATTACATCTGGGGGAAAAGAAAGGATGTGATGTTCAGAACATGGTAACTACAGTAATTATCAAAGTGGGAAGTGATGTCCTCTGGGGGCATTTGGCCAGGAGTGTTTTTACACCACAGACAAGGTTTGAGAAGAAAAAAATCATTATGAAAATATAATCATATTTTCCTTATTATATTCATTATTTCCTTATTGGATATTTTTGGAAAATCCCAGGTATTTTGAGCAGTAGGATTATAAAAAAACATATGCTAATATAAAATTAAATGATAAAAGTAGTCTATATAAAACTGCAAAATAAACATTCATCTATCGGTACTTTTTACTTAAGTACATAAAAAATCAAGTACTTTTGTACTTTCACTCGAGTAAAATTGAAAACTGAGTACTTTTACTTTTACTGGAGTAATATTTTATTATACGGATCAGTACTTTTACTCAAGTACTTGATTTGTGTACTTCGTCCACCTCTGGTACACACATCCACCACTTTATCACAGACGCCTCGCTTTCCTCTTTAAAACAACAAGAACATTATATGGCCTGAGATCTGATCAGAGGTTAAAGTCCTGAAAGCTCAAATCTATGTATCATTCATTCTCTATCTATCTATCTATCTATCTATCTAGTCACATGACTTTGTACCCTATATCTAAATATAATGCATCCAGTGCTCATTAATATTGAAAACTCAAAATGATATATGTTTAAACACCTTCTCTTTTGTATGTCCTTGTGTTTTTCTGCAGAGACCAAGCAGGAGTTGGAGGACCTCACAGCTGACATTAAGAAGACAGCCAATAAAGTGCGCTCTAAATTAAAAGGTATAAAACCAGAAATTTTTGAAATTTACAGTATATAACCGTTTTGAACAAAAGTGGTCAAAGTAGTGGATGTTTACGATTATTTGGGCAGTCACACATAACATTTTCTAAAACATTAAGGACTAATTGCCTGCTCTATACAGTATATAAACAATGAAACAGATCTGAGATCAGTTTGAGATGGTGAATATTTTTACAGTCTTCTTCGACTCTTTGAATTTAGTGTGAGAAAATTAGAAAAGTTCAGGTCTATTTGCAAGTATGCATTAAGTTTAGTCTACTAAAGGTCCTAAAACCTTCATCATCAAGTAGTCAAGGCTAATTTAGACACAATCTTTGATTCTAAAAGGCAGCCACCTGAGGCCAAAGGAGTTCAGCAATAGAACATTCTTGACAAGTAGGGGTTTTGACTAAACTCTTTTGAAGTGCTTTCCTTTTGAAGTCTCTCAGGAAAAGGCAAAAAGTTGTACTCCACCCTAAGCACAAAATAACATTTTTCAGTAACTAGTACAATTTTTTTGATGTGTCCTTATAAAAAATATTTTTATTACACCAATTCCTAATACCTTCAGAAACAACAGATTTAGAGCCATAAATGCCATGTGACTAATCTCTTTGGAAACCGCAGGAAAATGGTATTATGACAACATTGACTGGCAGATGGCAACACAAACCCTTCATTTTCCTATTTTTATTTGTAATCAATAATAATAATAATAATATAATATTATATTTATATATAATAAATTATGTTTATTAAATATATAGGGTAAGGAGTTAGGGTTGTATATTTATTTATATTTTTATAATAAATTGATTTTATACACTTGTATAAAATTGTTATTATTTATGTATTATGTAATATTATGTTATATATAATATACATATAATATTTAATACTACATAAAATATATTTTATTTTATTTATTATTTATTTAGTTTATTTGTAATTTATATAACATTAAATATATTTATATATAATATACATATAATATTTTATGTTACATAAACAATAAATAATAAAATATAAAATATTAATTTATATATAATATATTCAGGTTAGGGTTATACATTTATTTTTATAATAAATTATTTCGTATACATTTTTATAAATGTATTATTTTATACATATTTATTATTATTTAATTGTATTTGTTATGTATGTAATATTAATCATTATATTTCTCTATAATATACATATAATATTTAACAAACAATCAATCAATATGAACTTTAGGATTTTTTTTTTTTTCCATTTTCTTCAAAAAGTATTTAAAAAAAAAACTTCTACATGCAAGTACCCAACAGTGACAGTCACTTCATCCACACTCTCGCTGATGTAGCCAGTGACACATGGTGTGCCGGGCTCCATTAGAATTGAATGGAGTGTGAATCCCATTGTCTCCTGAAGTGGACAGTGAGATCTATTGTTCTTCTGAGATTAAGGGGCTTGTTATTACCCTGGGACCACTCTGTCTGACACCTAGTGTGTACGCACTTTCACTGTAACAGCTCGGTCCGCCAATTACTTCAGTGTCATGGGCGGATTTGATCGTGTTGTAGTTGCTGTGCCACCTCAGTAACTGTTGTAGCCAGGTAACCGGGGTGAGACAGCTGGTATTTGAAATGTCAGTCTATAGGGTGCGTTGAGGAGGCTATGGGTTTAGCACATGTTACTAGAACAATTCATTATAATCAGTTTATTTCTGTATTCTGCAGCAATCGAACAAAGTATCGAGCAAGAGGAGGGGTTGAACAGATCATCTGCAGATTTGCGGATCCGCAAGACACAGGTATGAAAGTAATTAAAAACACCAGTGTAATAGTCCAAATGTAGCTACTTGTCAGCTCGTTATTTATGATTTTTTTAAATTCTTCTAACTTCTTCTTTTATTCTTCTAAATAAGTAATAATAAAAATAATTAAGTTAAATGTATTTTTAAAAGAAATTCAAAACGTGTTGTGTCTTTCATATGGGAATCGTGTATAATAGGAAGTGCTCAGGGAATATTTAAAAGCTTTTATTTTATTATGTAAACTAGTTTCTCTAAAATGGAAGCAATATTCAGCAAAATAGCAGTAAATCTGACCTTCAGGGTGTTCAGAGACAGGCATACTTCCTGTGACCTCTGCCCTCCCACTGAGCAGCTCTGTCAAACACCCTCCTCAGCGCCATCTGCTGTCCAGAAACAGAACAAGCGCGGTAATCGCTCAAACTGCAGCAAAAGCAAGGCCCGATTTCACCACGATCACACTTGGCCCACAATACATTATCGTGAGCCACCCACTGTCAGCGAGTGCATTCACGTCACAATGTGCCGTTACACTTCCACATCCCTGACGCCTCCACATGTCTACCTTCATCCCACAGCATTCCACGCTGTCACGCAAGTTTGTGGAGGTGATGACGGAGTACAACACCACGCAGTCCAAATACAGGGACCGCTGCAAGGACCGCATTCAGAGACAACTGGAAATTAGTGAGTTCTGCTAGCATGCACGAAGACACACATGCAACCCACGCACAAAAGCACAAGCTGAGAAACAGCCTCCACATTACTCGAACATGCATTTACTTTTTAAATACACAAGCTAAGTGTTGATATGCATTTTATAAGATATGCAAGATATGCATTTTACACTCTAAAAAATGCTGGGTTAAATATAACCCAGCGCTGGGTTAAAAAGGGACAAACCCAGCTATTGGGTTGTTTTGACCCAGCGGTTGGGTTGTTTTGACCCAGCGGTTGGGTTGTTTTGACCCAGCGGTTGGGTTGTTTTGACCCAGCTATTGGGTTGTTTTGACCCAGAGGTTGGGTTGTTTTGAATAAAACAACCCAAAACAACCCAAACCGCTGGGTCAAAACAACCCAACCGCTGGGTCAAAACAACCCAATAGCTGGGTTTGTCCCTTTTTAACCCAGCGCTGGGTTATATTTAACCCAGCATTTTTTAGAGTGTACATGCAAGCATGTTACCAGTTAAGCAAAGCTCATCAAAATGAGCCGGTGTGCCACATATTGATACCATGTTCTCGTAATATCTTTAATTAGCTGGCAGAACAACTACCAATGAGGAGCTGGAAGACATGTTGGAGAGCGGGAAGCTTGCCATCTTCACTGATGATGTAAGTTTAATAGTCGCCGATCATTTAGAAAGTCATTTTACTATGACTTTGGTTTGCATTGAAAAAAACATTTGTGTTTTCTACAGCCACTACGGCCTCATGGACTTCACTCGCTGTTAAAAATAAAGGTTCTTTATTGGTTCCATTTTAGAACCTTTATCATCCACGGAACCTTTCCATTCCACAAAAGGTTCTTTATAGTGTAAAAAGGTTCTTTAGATCATTAAAATGTTCTTCACACTAAGAAAAAAAATGGTTCTTTTAAGAACTGTTGACTGAAAGGTTCATTAGGAAACTAAAAGTGGTTCTTCAGTGGAATCACTGAATTACAACCCACACTATATTGTTTGATAAAAATAGTCTTTAAGCATTATTACACAGCTGAGTTGCTGCCTGCTCAAAATTCAGTGTAAAGACGCAATGCTACATCAAAGCCAGACTGAATTTTGCCTCACCTCAGCCCCTAGTATCATAGTATACAGTTGCAATTGCTGTGTAAATGCATTTGTGGCACACCTCTGAGCAACATTATACAGTCTGTGTAAAGACAGGTAAATGCCGCTTCTGTGCCACCTTTGCAGTGTAAATTTGCCATTTTAGGAATGAATTCTGTGCAAATGTATGTTTAATAATAGTAACTTGCTGTTGACCCCCTGCCATGTTTTCTTGTATTCTCCATGTAACAGATCAAAATGGACTCCCAGATGACCAAGCAGGCACTAAATGAGATTGAGACCCGACACACTGAGATCATTAAGTTGGAGAACAGCATCCGTGAGCTGCACGACATGTTTGTGGACATGGCCATGCTTGTGGAGAGTCAGGTACAACACAGAAAGTTATACCTTTCATCAAAGTAAAAATGACAGGGAGAAAGCAGGAAGAAAATAGTCAAACAAACCTTATCAATGTTATCGCTTCACAAAAGTCCCTTCCACAAGGCTGTTAGCGATGCATACAAACAGGGGCGCCTTAGGACGATTCTAAGGGCCCACGCACTTTTGGGGCCCCCAGAGATCTGTTTTATTAGTAGTAACAGTAGTAGTAGTAATGTAATAGAAATTATAAATGTATCTACCAAAGAGTTACAAATAAAACAAAATTACGGCTTATTTCTGCATTTCCAGCAAAATTATCTCCCCCCATTCACTGCATGGTTTCGTCCCGTCCTACGTAGCCTCGAGTCACGAGTGAGATCAGATGGTAAGCTGTCAAATTAGAGATGTCTTCGAGTTCGAGGAGGTAAACCGAGCCGGACGATCAGTCGCACTTTTAAACACATTTTAGTTTTGCTATATTAGAAAATCTACAAATTTACAATCTGATTACATAGAGCAGCAGCAGGAAGCTCGTGAGGTTGTCATGGCAACCAGATACTCACGAATTACGGCTGCGCTTCTATTTTGCTTCACTAAACTTAGCAATAAACACGTTGAAAATAATACACAATAAACATGTCGGTCAAAACGATCTCAAAGGAGGCTTTTATTAAGCAAATCAAGGAGTGAATTACTCATCCACTGTAAAGGTTTTTGGGTTAAGGTTCATAAAAATCTACAAATTCACACTCTGATTACATAGAGCAGCAGCAGGAAGCTCGTGAGGTTGTCATGGCAACCAGATACTCACGAATTACGGCTGCGCTTCTATTTTGCTTCACTAAACTTAGCAATAAACACGTTGAAAAACTTGACTGGTCTGCAGAAAGCTAAATCCTAATCCCAACTGAACACCTCTGGTGTGACTTTAAAGGCAGACCTTGAGCCAAAAACTCATCACCAAACACCAATGACTTGTACATACATATGGACAAATGTATTGGGACACCCCCTTCTTTAGAACAGAAAAAAGGCACTTCCAAAACTGTGGCATCAAAGATGGAAGCATAATTCATGTATTTAAAAATTGTATTTCCATCTTTTTTGCCACAGTTTTGGAAGTGCCTTTTTTCTGTTCTAAAGAAGGGGGTGTCCCAATACATTTGTCCATATGTATGTACAAGTCATTGGTGTTTGGCGATGAGTTTTCCCAATACTTTGGGCAATATAGTGTATGTTTGGTGCGGTAGGGGGCCCAACCTCATATTCTTTCATAGGGCCCAAAATTGCTAGCGGCGCCCCTGCATACAAATGACAGTCGATTTGAGATTTTTGCCCTTTTTATATTCACATTATCATGGCCAAACCTGGAAGAATTTACCTAAAGAAATAGTTCCAAAATAGAAATTCTGTCATTATTTACTGACCCATATGTCACTGTGTGCAGTGCTTTTAGTATTGTTTAGTAATTAATATTTTGAATTTTATATTTCAGTTTTCATTTAAATTTAAACTTTAGTCATTTATGCACTTTTCTCATTTTATTATAATTTTTCCCTTATCTTCCATTTTTATTTCTGTTTTAGTACTACAAATTAAACTTACATACAATTATTTCAAATGTTGCCAATTAAATTAGTTCAATTAGTTCAATTTTTTTAAGTTTCATCTAAATTTTTTTTCCTTTTAGTTACTGAAAACCTTTTCTTTTTTTTTTTTGTGGAAAATAAAAGTAGTATTTATTTTTTGTATTTTCTGTCATTTTTATTAGGGTTTTTTTATTCCTTAGCTTTAATTTTTCTTTCAGTTTTAGTACATCAAATTAAACTTATTTTAAAAAATTTCAATGAAACATTTTATTTTTTGTTCAATTTTCTAAAGTTTCTCATCTAATTTTTATATTTATTTTATTTCAATTACTGAAAACAAATTTTAATAGTTTGTTTTTTTTTTTGTTTTTTTTTTGTGGAACATAAAGGTACATTTAAAGGTACATTATTAGCTCATTACCGATGGAGTGCTGTAGTTTTAAAGCACCGTCAACCTCATAGCCGAATTTCTGTCTTAATACTTTTACTGCGGGCAACCGTAAACAAACGAAGATTAAGAGAACTAAGAAGCACACATTTCGAATTGTGAGAGGAAGTGATATCACCAAGTTTGTACATGGAAATGGTTTTGTTTTTACTTCATTTGCTGTAGGCAGTGAAGGAACGGACATTTCATTTGATCTCGTTTAGAAAGCTACACTGGGATCGAAAGGGTGGCATTGCGCAAATTGTTGAACTATGCAGTTTTGATAGTGATTTGCCCCTGCTTTTTGAATTAAATCATGAAAACCTATGGAAAGATTCTGAAAAAGACAAAAGAGACACAACACAGTCCCCGTGGATCAGTCGGGGTTAAGGGCACTTAAGCATCACCATTTGTGGGGTTTGAAATCAGGCTGCACAAAGAATATAAGGGATCTTAACTTGCAACACTGAAACGGGACATACAGTAGTGTGTCTAACAGGGAACTGTCTTCTGTGATTTGTGCATTGCATGCAGTGATCATAAACGTGTGTGTATGAGGATATTGTGGAGAAGACATTTGTTTGAAGTGTCTATTTTTGTCATTCACAGGGAGAGATGATTGACAGAATCGAGTATAATGTGGAACACTCTGTGGACTATGTAGAGAGAGCAGTTTCTGACACCAAGAAGGCTGTCAAATACCAGAGTCAGGCACGCAAGGTAAAACACCGTCAGCTGTTACACCTGATGTCTTTCAGTATTATGCCCTTTGTGTACAATGACTCATGCTCTCAGTCTAGAGAATGCATTACTAAACCATCCACAGAAAAACTATATTGCTCCTTTGGCACTCATTGGTTCTTCAGCAGATGCTGCCTGCTCCTAGATGTTTTACTGCAGTTTTGCCGGCTTACAGCCATTGCAGTTGTGGTCTAAAGACTGCAGACTCTTGGTGGTATGCCACCTACTTCTATGCTTTCTGATGAGTCAAACTGCAGAAATGGGGTGGTTACTTTTTTACCGGCCCAAAGTTATTTGCTAATAGTGAACTGCTGGTGACACTTAATAGGTAGATCATTTTATCTAGTGTTAATAACTAAATTTAACAAATGAAACCTTATTGTAAACTGTTGCCAGATTAGAATTGTTAATTACGGAAGCCTCTTTTCCAAAATAAAACAAGTAATTGTAACTTTTCTTGTACTTTTTTCATAGTTGAGTTTATATCTCACAATTTTGACTTGGTTTTTTTACAATTATGAGGAAAAAGTCAGAATTTGAGAGATATAATCTTTCTGGCAATTCCAAGTTTACATCTTGCAATTCTGATGTTTTTCTCAGAATTAATTCAGTGTTTATCTCTTGCAATTCAGTTTTTTTTTTCCCGCCACAGAATAAAAATTCAAAAAGTTTTATTTTACAAAAAATAGGCCCATAAAAACAAAACAAGCATTGCATGGTCCATTTACATGTCCGACAGATGGTCACCAGAAAAAAACGTGATTTTCTCTCTGCATGTCCAACCAAGCATTTACATTTAGTTTATTCTGTATGGCATAAGTCTCTTGGCCCAATATAATATTTGCAGCTTCCCTCCATGATCTCATCACATTCAGTAAATATGCACTGCTTTTTTTGGAGATTCCAGAGTTTAGTATGATGTTAGTACTGCACTCTAAAAAAATGCTGGGTTGTTTCAACCCAACTTTGGGTCAAATATGGACTAACCCAACTTTTGGGTTAAAACTGTAATGTAAAAATTTAACCCAACGGTTGGGTTAGTCCATATTTGACCCAAAGTTGGGTTGAAACAACCCAGCATTTTTTAGAGTGTGTTTTTAGCCTTTACAGTTATGCGATATCTAATCACCACCTTCTCAAATGTAGTCAATGTTTGAACACATTTAGTATTCAAAGGGGCAACGTCTCAGAGTGGTTCTTTTCATCAATTATTTAATGAACTTTTAATTCATTTAACGATTTACTTTGGTTTAATTGTTAATGGTTTCATTTAAAGTGTGGTTAAGATGAGGTGATGCTACTTAGATTAGCTGACTATCGCAACAGAGTTGCTATAGATGAGCTAAATAATGTTTACACATCTTTCTTTCTTTCCTTCTCGTCCTTTTTCGTCCTCTGCAGAAGAAGATCATGATCATCATCTGCTGTGTAATTTTGGGAGTGGTTTTGGCATCCAGTATCGGAGGAACCCTGGGCTTCTAAACGACATGAAGAGAGACAAACACTTGGAAAGCTGAGTGTTTTATCCACTTAAACACGAAATAAGGAAACTGTCATAAAACGGGGGTTGGGTAGGGTTAAAATCGAATATTCAAAAATCAAACAATCAAAAAAAGAAATAAATCAAGGAGATGTTACGTACTAGCTGATTTAAATATATACAAAAGTGGGTTCAAATAAACATCATATTTACAAACTGTACATGTAAATGTATTGAACATAAAGCAGCACATGGGTTAATACCTGTAAAGGAATAAAAATAAATTTTTGTTTTTATTTTATTTTTTTTGCGTTGCTTTTATTTTTGGGGGGGCCTCCAGGACAGTGCCAGCAACTGCTAAATTGTTTTATGTTCCGGCAGAACATGGTGTTTGGCAAACCATACTAGCATTACGAATACTAACCAACTGACTGCATAGATGTTATAGATAGTAGTACTAGTCCGATTGCAATGGCCTAACGTTCCAAGTGGTTGCTTGCATTCAGATGACATCTCTCATCGTTACATTATTAGCTCATTACCGATGGAGTGCTGTAGTTTTAAAGCACCGTCAACCTCATAGCCGAATTTCTGTCTTAATACTTTTACTGCGGGCAACCGTAAACAAACGAAGATTAAGAGAACTAAGAAGCACACATTTCGAATTGTGAGAGGAAGTGATATCACCAAGTTTGTACATGGAAATGGTTTTGTTTTTACTTCATTTGCTGTAGGCAGTGAAGGAACGGACATTTCATTTGATCTCGTTTAGAAAGCTACACTGGGATCGAAAGGGTGGCATTGCGCAAATTGTTGAACTATGCAGTTTTGATAGTGATTTGCCCCTGCTTTTTGAATTAAATCATGAAAACCTATGGAAAGATTCTGAAAAAGACAAAAGAGACTAAATATTTTTGTCTACGCCGAAGATTTCTTATAAGGAACATTTACGGAAATGTCAATACTTGAAGTAACGCCTAGCCTAAATATTATCTTTTGGAGGGTGGTTAGGTCTGCTGAAATTCATTTTCCTTATTTTACGTTAGTTTTGCACTTTTTTTATTTGCCTTGTTTCATAAATTGCATATATATTTTACATTATAATATAAAGAATGGGCTTGAACAGGACTGTTTAGGTTTTGAAGGATCGATTTGAGAGTTTGCTTGACGTTTCACCTTGGTGCTAGTTAATAAAGAGAGACTAATAAAATTAACTACGGGGAAGTGATAGACACTCTTAGATCCTTATTCTTAAATTCTAAATATCTGAAAAAATGGGAATAGGTGCGGTGCAGAGGTATCTTATGAAATATTTACCTGTAGATGCATTCTTCAGTTCAACTGAAGAAACTTGTACGGTTGGTCAGGACACTTATTATGCAGCGACTAAAAATTAAGACATTTACACAACTTTATATGAAATAACTCAAATTTAGCTCTGAACGCCAAGAGAGACAGCATCTTAAGATAACTCTAGCTTAGAATAAGAATTTGTCCAAAGATATTTTTTTTTTTTTCCGCAGAAACACAAATCAAACAGTTGTATCATGAATTCGTTGCATCCTTTTCTTTGCAGACAGAAAGTGCCAGCATGGTTCATTATGTACTTCTTGTTTTAAATTCAAGGGCTAAAATTCAAAACCAAACTTTAGCTCTGTTTTTTTTTTAATTTATTTTTTTTATACAGAATCCCCCTTGGCTTTATTCAGATTTGTCGCACTCTTAGAACGCCCTTACCTTCATGTTCATGACATTCATGACATGTACCAACTCTGAACGTGCACTCCTTTTCTCAATACGGACTTCATTTTCCATGTACTGCTTATCATAGAATATATAACAGGAGCCCCCCCACCCCGTCCCACCACCCCTTTACGTACCCAAAGCAAAGTAGTAGGGAACAAGAATGATTTTGGGGATAAATACTGTTCACTTTTTACAAAGCCTGAGGCAGAGGGCCGGGACTATTTTACTTTAATCATTCCAGTAACGTCCAGCATGTTTTCTTTGAAACTTCTGTGTATTTAGTGTCGAATCACTTACATGTATGGTAAAATGAGGTAAATATGTATGTCGGTGTTGTTTTTTAGTAGACGATATAGCTGGAAGGCCCTTATTTGTTAACGCATGCAACTTTCGCTTTGTTAGTTTGCATGGCTCTCGATCATGTGTGCACTTTACAATCAAAGAAAACAATGTCTTATACCGCCACATTTTTTGTACCTTTTTCTGTTTTGTTAATGTTTTTTTTTTTAATTTATGATTATTTATTATGACTCTCTAAGGGTTGGATGGGGGGGGGGTTGACTTAATTTAATAGTTCTGCTGCCTATTTCATCATGACCCTGACAATGCTGGAGTTTTACCGTGGTCCCCATGAATGTGTTCCCTGTGGATGTGCACATGAATACAAAAATCTGTTTGTCGTCGGGTATTTTGCTCCCAAACCATGTCCGTAGTGTAAAACGATGTATTCCCCCCCTCCTTGCCCTCTGGAAACACTCTGGGTACGAATCATTTTTGCGCATCTTGTTCATTTTCCCTTCCCCTGATGTTTTCCCGAACTTGATTGTTGTGCTTAACTGGTGATGATATGTGAATTCTTTCGTAAGACTATTCTTTATTGTGAGTCGTGTGCTGCGGTGTCGAATTGTGCAACTCAAAAGGCCATGTATGCGTGCCCTGTCCCTTCGGCATTTTTTCCTTTTTTACGTACACGTTGCTGTATATGTGAGCATGAGCATCTGTGTGTGTGTGGTTGTGCGTGTGTGTGTGCTCGTCTGCTGTTGGAGCCCTCGGTCGCACCGGCCTCGGGCACAAGGGGCTTCTCTGGTCTGCAGGTCTATGGTATGCAGCTCTAGTGCTCCAGTTCTGTGCCGACTTCATTCAAATGTTAAGAAAAGTAATAAGACTAAAAAGCCAAAGCATTATGTGAGTACAGAGCACAATGTTACAGTCAACTGTATTGTGTAGTCCACCCTGCCCTTAAATCTTGTGAACTATCTTGCGAATACATTTCCTATGTCTTCAATTCCACTGCTTTCAGTGACAAGGTTCTAAATATACAGGTTTATTTATTTATATTCATTCTGAACAATGTGTATAATGTATACTATACAAGCTTGTTCATTTTAAAGCACTTTCTCCAAAAACAGCTACCTACAAAACAAATATACCCCCAACGATGTTCAAATGTTGTGTGTATCTTATGTTGTTTTTTTCTTTTTCCCCTCAATGATGCTGTTTATGTTGCCATTTTCCCCTTGTTCAACTCACTTGCATTGCTTCCTCTGTGCTGTTCCAGCTGTCGTTTTACTTGTCGCCAAACATCTTCTCGCCCAACTAAGATTTAAGTTGAAAGTGCAATCAGGGCAGAAACCACAATGTGATGGGCACCATGGATGGGAAGGAAGAAATTAAATCGATTTCTGCAACTTTGACTGGAATTGCAAATTCTGTCTTTTATTTTCTGTGTGTGTATGTGTGTACTGTATTGTAAAAAAAGGAAAAAGATACAAACAAACAACATAACTGTCCCTCTCTCCCCCCTCTCTCTTGTAATACTGTTTGCTGATCTGTTTGGTTAGTGTGGCGTACCAGTATCCCTCTCCTCCCCTAAAACCTTTTGCTATCTTCCTCCCTTCTCTTACAATCTCTCTCTCTCTCTCTCTCTCTCTCTCTCTCCCTCTTTTCTCCATGGATCTTTAAGATGAGAACTCTATGCAGATGCGGTCTTTTATAAGTGTGTCAAAATTTTAAGTTAAAATGAAAAATGAAAAAAGAAAAACCCCAACAAACAGATATTATGAACTGAAACAAAAAATAAAGAAAAACGATTGTCCAGTGTACAACTGCTGTAGTTGTCTTCCCTACTTTTACTCCTTTCTCAAATCATGGGCAGGGGTGGGGGCATCAATAATTTGAAAAGGAAGCTCGTATATGCATCAAGCATGTATACTGACAGTGTTTTTCAAGCTAATTTTCACACTGCACTGCCTGGTGCATCGCCATTATGGATTTAGATGTTTTTGCCAACTTTCTAGGTGAAATATAAACAGTTGGAGTTTCAAGTACTGCCTGCTGGCATTCCATCCGACATAAAAACTAAATTAAATCAATAAAGAGATTTTGATCCTGGAAACTGCTCAGAATGGCCACTGTTGTAACAGCATCAGGTTTGACCCTCACCTTAATTTCGTCCCTTAATTATATACAAAATATATATATTGTAATTTGTGAATTGTGTAAATGTCTATTTATAACAACAAAAATGACAGAAGTTCCATCTGAATCAGTTCATGAAATAAGATGTCCTCCTGATAATTGTAACTCAAATGTCATTTAGCGAACTAATTCCAAGACGAATTGTGCTAAAGATGTTTTATTCACTGTAAAGCGTTGGACACGCTTTCAATTAACTATTAAGCCAGCCACATTCACCCCAGACCCCTTTGTGCAAAGTAGATAAAGTTATTTAGAAAGATAATGGGGTTTTGTTCAATTACGTTTTTATTGATTGCAGCAGAAGATGCCCTGTGAGCTGTGCAAGACCAACAAGTGCTTATCATTACTCTAAATTAATTAATTTAGTCATTGCAGTGAAAACTTGCCAAACTTGGCAGGTATGAAGGGCTGGTTTTCCAGTTGCTAAGCAACAGTCTGTAAATTTTCCTTTAAAAATAATTCAGCCTCTGCGCGCTGTTTGAGCTACAAGCTTTGTATGTTAATCTTTTACGCCTAGATTTGGACATATTACTCTCAATTCAGACCAAACATGAATTACACATGTAGTTTCTATAGGTGTAAAAACACCCTGAATAATGCATTCCATTTTCACTCCACACCCTTTGACACTTTTCAGGCAGGTATTTGGGACCAAAAACGTTTACTTAACAGCCTCAAAACAAGTATAAGTTGTCAATTAAATTGCATGCATTCAAAGACTATGGACTTTAATGCATTGTACCCGAATGGGTCTTATGTGGAAATGCCTCATTTAAACTTGAATTAAGATGCTGCAAATACTGCATTCTCTTGCTCTCAAGCAACTGAAGCATTGCTTTGAAATTAAATGAAACATGTCTAGGCTGCTAAATAGCTTAACTGGTTTCAGGGCATTTGCCAAACAGACAAGTATGCCTGAAGGTGAAAACTTACCTAAAGGATCTTTCACCATCTAGTGGACACTCCAAGACCTCCAATCAACCTTTTCACATACACACCCAGCACCTGAGAATCAGATAAATTCACATACATTGTATTTTTTCTACATTCTCAGTACTACCACAATTATGAAGTGTTGTCATCTTTCGTCTATAAGCTGTATACCTGCATAATAATATATTCTGATCTTTAACGTTAACTCATAAGGATAGTGTAACTTGTGTGTTATATTCCACGTATTCGGAAGCAATCTTGATAGATTTGTGTGGGGAAAAAATATTCACCCCAACCGATTATATTCACCTCAGCCGATCCGATGTCGTTTCGACGTCAATGACGTCAACGCGTAATTTCTGGACGCAAACGCGCGCTTGACGCGAGCTACTGTTTGACGGCAAAATTATCAGTAAATAACTGCTTCGTTTTAGTCGGTTCCTTACACAAATTATTTAGGATCCAATGCTTAAATCATATGGAGCACGTTTATGAAACGTGTACGGTGCTCTTTGGTGTCATTTTGGGAGTTTGACAGACGTCTCACAACAAACTGTCGTTATGGAAAGTAAGGAGTGAAGACTCCTCAAAATGTTTGAAACGACATGAGGGTGAGTAAATAACGACATAATTTTAATTATGGAGTGAACTATTGCGTCAGGATATTCTTACATTTTCAAATGGTAAATTAATATGACCAAGGTAGTTTATATAAACATGTTTTTAATCGTTACCTTTGCAATATACGAGTTATGTGATCTGCAGCTGCTCGATAACTGAGGTAAGTTTTAGAATGGCGCGCTTTTCTTGTAGCTGATGTCACGCGTGGCAATTCCCTGGTCTTTCGCTGCATTACTCATCATGATTCATGAATGCCCATATAAACACACCTGCTGATTGTTCCATTTAATGAGTTACTTACTAAATGTTCTGTTGTTACGTTTATCCTCCGTTTTGTTTTTTAATTAAAGTCTTTGTATTTCCTTTGATTTGATCTGCTCTGGTTCTGATTTTGGACTGGCTGATAGCTATAAATAGTGCCATACTCTTTTGTACTATTTATATTAAACAACTGCTGTGCACACGTTCAAGGACATGTAAGAGCCGTCTGCTCACAAGGATGTAGGTGCCAGTCCGTCGTAGGACATGTCCCAGTTACACTCCCCCCTCATGCCCACTTTCTTGTCTAAACTCCTCTATCTTAAAAATAGAGAAAAACGCCCAATAAAAAAAATTTAAAAACCTGCTAAATGTAAAGAAGGAAACCACGGACTAAAACAAACAAAAAAATGAGTCACTATTTAGAATTTAGTTTATTAGTAAAAAAAGTAAACGTATTACATAAATATTATAGTGCATAGAAAAATTATATAATTATGTATTTATCAAAAGTGGGAAGAAGGATACCTAGAATATATAAGAGATCATCTTAGTGATGAGTCTGAACAAGGAGGCAGGGTACTGTAAAACAGGAGCAAAATCATATTTTCATGTTTTAACTACAAGTAACAATAAGGAATTTGTTGTGTTCTTATTTGATTACTCAGTTAAGATCTTACTGACCACAGCCCAGCTTTCAGGTGCATTAAACATCCTAAAATCCATGAATGGGAACATTCATAATAAACAGACTTTAACAAGGACACCGTGATATTGGATCCAGATGGTGGATGGTGACTCTTTCAGAACACCAACCATGAGTGGCAAACTTTCACACATAAATTTGAAGTAAATGTTACATTAATTTTCCAGCTATTTATTTTTATTATTTTAGAGCATTGAGGTTATGATTTAAACATGTTCTATTAGGAAATTAATTATCAAAATAAACGTATAGTTACTCACACACACACACACACACACACACACATATATATATAAACAAGGAAGAAAAAAATATAAAAAATGTTATCGTTTATAATTGGAATCAGTCTTTGCCAAAGTAGCAACTGTCCACCTGGGAAGATTTTCCTTTTTTAATTGTCTACTTGTGTAAAATTTGCAAAATATATAATCTTCCCGTGCTTTGATCATAGCACATACAACTTCATTTTCACTTAAAATACATTAACTTAGCACCAGTGCTCCCTGGTAATGTGTTAAAAACAAGCTCAAAATAGTAAAATGCAATTAAATAAAAAAGAAAATAATAATTATAAATAAATACATGTGTTAACATGGTATAACTGAGGTGTTAAGATAAGATTGCCTTGCTGATTGTAATGATCACAAAATCATTCCTTAACGTGTTAACTTAAAGAGTGAAATAGGCACATCCAATCTTGACATGAGCGTGGGGGGAGACAGTCACGACATCACGTGAGATAATAACACAGTGATATGTTTACACTCATTGTACTGCAATCAAAACACACATTATTACAGTTCCTTGTTTATTGCACAAGGGACAGAAATATTCGTTTAAAAGCATAACAAATAATGGCAACGAAAGAGGAGATTACAGTCACTATAGCAAGTGTTCTTTAGGAGTCCTGTCATTCCTGACTCCGCGTCCGATAGCCTCTGGAGAATGGAGGGGTTGAAACAAGAAATCCTAAAACTG